TAGTAAATAAAAACATCTATAAAAGCCAGGTGTGATTCCTGTAACCATGCATCCAGACAGCGCAGGTGTCTGCATGTCTGGAGACCTCAAGCAGCTGATGGAACAAAAAACCAAGCGTTGACCTCTATTTTGATAGTAGGATCTGCAGTCCAGTGAGGAGCCTGGAGTTGCGTCAGGGCTCACCCAACATGAGATGCTGCTGTTTAAAAAAAACAAACAAAAAAAACAGACACACTCAGTCGGCGGTGAAGATCCTCGCAGCAATATCATCTAATAGCCAGTCCACTCCAGCTAACAAGTTCTCTCCTGTTACTGCACTGCAGCCAATGATACACCAGTGATGACTTCTGATCTCATCCAGGGCCAGCGCCTGCAAGAGAACACACAATGAGAGCATGTACACTGTAAGGTACAATGTCTGGATAATGCAAGTGTAATCTGACATTTCTGGGAAAAGTTTTATCACTGCAATGTAGGATTCAAACTCACCTCTCGTATTGCCTCTTTTGACAGGGCTCCTGGTAAATCCTGTTTGTTGGCAAACACCAGCAGTGTTGCACCAGCTAACCTCTGCATGGAGGAAAGGATACAGTCAACTACAGAGATTGATATAACAAATACAAAGCAAGACTATAAAGATGGTTCTTTGCTGTTATCCAATACGGTCTCTTTGTGGCTGACTGTAAAATGAGAGGAGACATAAGGGGGGGATCCATAAATTTGTAAAAATGTGGGTATAAAACCAAAATGAAAGATCTGCAAATAACCACTTCACCCAACATGTGTGTATATGTGTGTGTACCTCCTCCTGCAACAGTGAACTGAGCTCCTGCTTGCAGTCCTCCAGTCTGAGTCTGTCTGCGCTGTCCACCACCCACACCAGCCCGTCTGTGCTCTCAAAGTAGTTCCTCCAGTAGGAGCGCAGCGACTTCTGACCCCCTACATCCCATATATTCAATTTAAACCTGGAAAACACAGAGTGAGAGGAGAACATGAAGAATGTAAAGTAGGAAAGGGAAAGTATAGCTTTTGGAGTTCAATAAAAACAGAGTATGTACAAATAACTGACACTTTCCTAAATTTGTGGGTTTGTATTTTTTCTTGTTTGTGTTTTGATTCAATTGGCTTTAAGAGATAATTCATAACTGGCTGACTGTATGTGAGTCAGGTAATCAAGATTGACACACAACAAGTTGTACGTTTGGAGCGAATGAGGGCCTTTTTCAAGACAAGTATGAATGTTTTGAGGAAATGCAGCAGTGTGTCTTTAAATGTGTTTAAGCTACAGCCCCTTTTCAGACATTTTGACTTGTCACAGTCATCACTGAAATGAACATACTGACCAGGAAGAGACACAGAAAGACCACAAAGAGATGCAAAGGAACTACAAGGAGACACAAAATAACTGCGAAAACCGGTAAAACAATCACAAAGAGACACAAATGGAAGACAGATACAAAGCAAACACAAGGAGACACGAAATGACTGCAAAGCGGCACAAAGTGACCAAAAAAAAGAAGAAACAAAATTACCTCAAAGAGATCCAAAATGACAACATAAAAACACAAAATAACAACAAGGAGACACATAAACACAAAAAGATGCCTAATGACTACAATGTGATACCAACCACAGCAGCTGGCAGCAGCGAAACAGGCTGCAATGTAACCATATGGGGCAATTGTCCATCGTCAATGTAGATCCACCAAAAGTGTTTGTTTTTGTCACTGACTGGCTCAGATTGTTATTCTAAATGTCTGTCCACACAACGGAAAGGATCCCCAGGGAGATAGACCTTTTTTGTTAAGATTAAAATCATTTTCGTTTAATCAGAAACAACCCTGAAATCGCCACCGCCAAACCCACCAGACTCCCTCGAAATAAACGGTAATTTTATCATGGTAAAATGCACTTCATTAAAAGTCCACAAAAACAAAATAAAACTCAAAAAAGTCATCTTAATTTGTCTTTCCACTATTCCAACAATCACCAACTCTACTTTGGTTGAAATAAAACCTTATTCATTCAATGAGATGTGGAAATATGCTGGTTTTATACACTCTAAAATCACAGTTTATTTAAATGGAGTCTGGTGGGTTTGGCAATAGCAATTTCAGGGCTGTTTCGGGTCACACAAAAAGGATCTTACTCTTTAACACAACAGTCTATCTCTGTAAGGAGCCTTTCCATAATGTTATTAGACTTACAACAAGAGTCTGAGCCTGTCTGTGGTAAAAATAAGCACTTTTATTGGACATACATTGAGGGTGCACGATTGCCCCAAGTGATTACATTACAGCCTGTTTCACTTGTGCAGACTGATGTCCTGTTGCTCAATACTGGAGCCGTTTCAAAAGTTGCTGTTCCCTTTAGTCAGAAAGACAGAAACATATGGGAAACAGTTTCCAGGCTGAAAATTTACCAAAGTAACCCTTTAAGTACATTTAGCTAATCATACTGACATAGTTTTACTTATATAGGGGTTTGAATGCAGGACTTTTACTTGTAGTGAAGTATTTTTACATTGTGGTAGTAACACTTTTACTAATGGGTCTGAATACCTTTTCCATCACTGCATACTGTGCATGCGTGTGAGTGAATGTGTGTGTGCGCGCTCTACCCTTTGTGCTCCAGTGTTTTGATGTTGAAGCCCAGGGTTGGGGAGATGGTGCTGACGTCTTCTCCATTAAACTTCTTCAGGATGGTCGTCTTCCCCGCGTTGTCCAGACCTCTGCACGAGTCAGGTTAAAGAAGAAACACTCACACACACCTCACTGTTAAATATTCTAGTTATAATTTAACTCTTATTCACCCACAGTCAGTTAACAGAGGTTAGCAAGGTAGCATGATACAGCACAAAATACGCAAAACAAACTTAACAAGCATACATGCGTTATTCTATATATTATCTAACCATACACGGATATAAATTACTGCTGCAGCTATTATGTTGCTGACATAAATAAAGTTAAAATAACGTCGGTGCATGACTCCTACTTTGCTCCCAGCTAAGCTAGCAAACAGTTACAGACAGGATACAACATCAGCAGCCTCATCTCCCGCTCCTTCTGCTTCATCTTCTTTAAAATCGTCAGCAAACCCATCGCGACGGTGTCCCGCTCAACTGCAGTTATATCTCCTTTTGTAACTTCTATAGCTAATTTTATTAATTTGTAGTTTTGTGAGAAAGATGTTTAGCATCCATAAGCAGCATTGCGAACCAGGAAGAGGCTGTGACGCTAATCCCGCCCCCCCGCTGCCACCAATTGGTCTGTTTAGTACACAGCGAACGCTGATTGGTTGCTGGAGACGTCCGGTTCTGGTTGATTGGCCAGTGAGCATTGTAAGGTGTGGCTGTGCTGTTGAGGCGTTTTTGTCGGGTTGGCGCCCCCGTGTGTGTGTTGTGGGAACTATATATTTTATTTACGCAATCTGAAAATGTTCAGCCTGTCAAAGCTTGTTCCCAAAAATATACATAATATAGACTGTTGTATTTTTAAAAATAAAACATCTTTGTATTTTCATTATAATTCAAAACGCACATGTTACCTGATATTACACATATTGTATATATTTTTTGTATGTATATATCTGTATAAATACTATATATATTCTTGTAAATGTAATTTAGTTTTCCTTTTTTATTTTTTTCCTTTAGTTTTATATTATATTGTCTATTTAGTTGTTTGTATTCAATTTTAATCTTAATTTCCTGAATTTATCTCAATACATTTTCTGTAGCATGAATGAGGAAGCAGTAACTACATTACCTTGTGCAATCTTGCATTTTATACTGACAGTCAGACCATAAATCCTTGAATATGTGCATTCGGCCAATACAATAATACAATGAATATTATTTTCCTAAAAAATTAAACTTACATACATATAGGCAAGTGAGCTTGAAAAGTTTACTCTTGACTCTTAAAATAGTAGTTTGAAAAAACAACCAACATAAGACTTTTTTCCTGGAGTTTTCAACTGCATCTGTCTGAGCACAATCCATGAGGTGCAGCTGATAGCTCTAGAGAAAAACTAACAAGTAGACCCTGTGTGTTTTTATGTGGATCACTGCATCACATTCAGGCTATTCACTTGGGTCAGTATATTCAAATTCCAGGGTGTGAATTGATCAGTGGAGAGGATAAACCAAATGTGATGCCACACAGTGAAGCTGCTGCAACATTGTGTTCTTGTTTCAGGAATGACAGACAGATGAAACAACTTTTTGGTGACATGGTATTTCTGTCAGCTCCCTTCTGATCACTTTTAACAGTGCAAAACATCCCGCAAACCAGAACTTTCCCATTTTTTCCTAATTCATACAAACCTTCTTGTATCAGAGAGTTTTCTTTCAGAATCAATGATATCTTACCATTTTAATTTACACACCGTACCAGAGAGTAGCATCAAAACTTAAGCCTCTTATATTAGCATTACAAAGTATAATTTAAGAAGTAAAATAAATGTCCCTTTATAAGTTGAGTGAGGTGCTTTCAACAAGATAGGTGTTATTTTTGTGATTTTATAAATTGCTATAACATTGATCAATTTTAATAATACGTTTTATGTTTGCTAGATATTTCAAGAGTTATGACATTATCATTAAACACTGATATCCTCACTACCTCCACAAAGTTGGAAGACCAAGTTATTATTAATGAGGATTCCCTCTCATATCAGAATAAATAATTAACCCTGGTTATCAACATCAACAACCTTAGTTAAAAGCAACAAACCTTTTAGTGTGGTATGTTTGTTTTACTTTGTTGAGAGGAGATTAAGTCATGTACATTCAAAGAATGTTGCTTTTTATAATTTAGGTTACATCATATCCTGCAGAGTGCCGGTAAACCCTGTTGGCTCCCGTCTGGGGGCCCGGCCATTTGTTTCCTGGCAAAAGAAATTGAGAAATTCCCCGCTCGTGAGGGAGGCACAACCTTTTTCATTAATATGGTCATCCAGCCCTGAGCTGTTCCTGTCCCTCACCGTCTTTTCCCATCCATTCATTGTGATGCGTTCATGCGCTATGGAAAATATGCAATGCAACGTAGCTGTATAATGGAACTCGAAAACCAGGTTTTAATCGGTGAGTCAATTGTTGCTTAATCGAGACACTCAGACAGGTTAGGTGAAGGCAATCTGCGTAAAAGTAATTTTGACCGATACTGAAGCAAACACCAGCAGCATTTTGTACCGATAGTGAAACTAACATACTACACGTGAAGGCAGCACAGACCCCACAGCAGTTAACCAGCAACGGGTCAGTTTAAAATAAAGAGAAACTGAAAGCAGCCGCAGCATTATGTTGCATCATCGGCAGCCTGATGCCAAACCTCATGCGCTCAAAAGCCACCAGACACACCAACTGAGCGCTTCACTTCGAGCTACACATTTACAGAGACAACACGTCATAAAGCACCAGACATTAGTCCGCACCACGGAAATACAGCATTACCTGTTTAGCAGCCTGTCACCCAGAGTCTTTCAAAGTGTACTCCAAGCTGTGGAGCGGCGCCGAGTGTGCGTCAACTACAGTTTGCATGGCAGCGGTTTCACTCACGGGCGCACAGCTCGGATGATCCGGTGACGGTAGCCACATCCTGCCGGTGGACACTAAGACAGCCAACCGGCCAGCCAGTCAGCTGCAGGACGGAGGAAGACATGTCCCCGTTATTCATGGACACCGGGTACAACAGCCCTGTCACAGTGTCAGATGAGGGGAGCAACTCCGCTGGACTGGTGAGTTACCCTCCTTGACAATCATATAATAAAGCAAGGGCGTAGGTTTCGTCTCAGCATTGGGGGGCACATATGAAATAGGTGGTCTGGGGGTCCTTCACCAGAAATACTTGAGTACCAGATATCTAATTTTCTGCATTCTGGTGATTTTTCATGCATCATTTTCCTGCACAAATTTCTACTGTAAATGTCTTGACAAAATAAAAGACATCTGCTACTTTATGATTTTATTGGGGGAGACATGCATATGTTGCAACGAACAGATATGACTTCATATCATTTTATAACTATGACTGCACTAAAATGTCTTGTAACTCTTGTACCAGAAGTGTAAGATACCTCCTGTAAATATTATAGAAATTGTGTAATAATAGTCGTCCAAACTAACCGTTTATTGGTATGTGCATTGTATTCCACTTTGATCCATGCATTTCATGTTTTTAACACATTGTAACTTGGTTTTGAAAGTGCTGTATTACTACCCCCCCCCCCCCCCCCCCCCCCCCCCCCCCCCCCCCCCCCCCCCCCCCCCCCCCCCCCCCCCCCCCCCCCCCCGTGTCTCCCCTTGTTTTCGGTCAACCCTCAACTGTCCACTATCAAATAACGGCAAAAATAATATAGTATCAGCCGATCACCTTAAAGAGGTCTAATAAGTCTGGAAAGACAACATTGTATTTCCAAGTTTTGAACATGCAAGTGTTCCTCTCTACCTTGTAGCCTAATGTGTGGCACTGTTAGAATAGTTGGCACCAATGACTGTCACTTGGCTTCAGTCTTGATTCCTATTTCTGCCATCAGCATGCTAAAGCCTGGCTGCCATCCACCCATCCTCTATTATGGGTGAAGAAAAGGTGCAGTTATCTACATTGCAATTGTAAACAAAAACAATTTAAAATCTTAAAAAGTGAGCAATGAATATGCTTTTAGGGTATGCACCTCCAATTTGTTGACATCAAGCTCTTGTTTCTGTTGAGTTTGAGTGCACTCACTGTATGTCGCTTTGGACATTAGACACAATAATTAATGCTTCCTGTCCCATTTGAATCAAACACAGTGGTGGAGGGAGTCGTTAGGAAGCTTCGTTAGTTTTAGGCTCTTTGCCCAGCTGCTGAATTCAACATCACACCCTACAACACTACTTCCTGTTTTAATTAAGAGACCACATGTAATTTCATGTGATAGGTTTGTCTCATGACCTTATGACCCATGAAGTCTTTCAAAACATAATGCAACATCAAAAAGTTATTAAGATCTGCCTTGGAAAAAAAAAAGATTCCTTAAAGGGCGGTAGGGGATGCCACAAGAGAAGTGTGACCTTGAAAAACACACACACACACACACACACACACACACACACAGACTCTACTGTAATTAATTCTAGATGAGTGTGGTGAACTGTTGCATTCATCTGTACAGGAGAGAGAAGAGGGGCAACAGATGGGAGGCAAAGGGAGAAAAAGACAAGAGAAGAATAGAGACGCTGCGAGGAAGAGCCGCAGAAAACAAACGGAGAGAGCAGACGAACTTCACGAGGTTCGAAACGTTCATTCCTTACTCCTCCCTTACACCATTACCCAGTGACTCTCTGACTTTCTGTCTCCCTTTGCAGTCTCACACACACTCTCACACCCACATGCACATAGGCTGTGTGACTAGTGGTGTGTGCCTGTCTTGTGTAATCTGTCAACATGCTCGCAGCCATTTCTTGTAAATACCCTGCTTTAGGAGAAGGGTTTTCACTCCCTCTGGTGCGCCCTCCCTATTGGCCTTCCCTTTCCTCTGTACTGTACACAAACACACACACACACACACACACACACACACACACACACACCCACCCGCCTCCTTTTTTCCATCCGTGCCTCTCAGCCGTTTTTTTTCCTGAGGGGCAAATTCCACAGGTTGAGTTACACACACACACACACACACACCCACACACACACACATAATGGGCTTCCCGAAGAACTGAGCCAACTTTCAGATCAGATGTCACGAAGCAAAAGGTGCCCGCACTCAGAAACTTCACAACATGCACTGTTGGAAATGAAATATGTATATATTTCTTTTAATATGTGAGAAAATTACTCCCTGCAAGAACACTGTCATTCCTCTGAAAAAGCAAGAGGTTCTTTTCAGGACATTTTGTACAAACAGTGCTTTGCATTTTTGTTGATATTGAAGTTTTGTTTTGTATCAGATTTTTTGTGTCATTATAAAATGTGTTATATGGCTCTCATTTTGACAATATGAAAACCAAACCTGTAGTTCTTTCAAGGTTGGAGACGTTTCTCCTTGACACTAATTACAGTCGACCTTTTTGTCCTCCATGATCATATCTTACCTGTTATAACTGGTTGGATAAGTGTGTGTTTGCTGAATTTATGAATGGGTGTAGGCCTATGTGTCTTTTGTGTGGAATGAGTCCAGACTTTCGCTTTCTCTCTCGTCTTCTCTTTCAGTTCTGCTCTTTGGAAATCCTTCAGGTTACTTTTGAAGAAGCATCGCTGCTACAAACCAGTTTGACTCACGAAAAATACGGAGTCCGTGTCAGCAGTTTATGGTTTAAAGGGTCAGCACACGTGACGCGCAGCTGCATAGCACGGCTACTTTCACTGTGATCTCTGTGCCTTGGGAAAATAGAGTAGAAAATGTAATCTTACCGAAGGAGAACAGTATTCTTCTGAGTGTTATTCAAGTCTGTATTTGCAGTTGCTGGTGCTCAGTGAGGATGAATTCTGGCTGCTATGGAGGATAAGTGTTTTCAGACTGCAGTGAAACTCAATGAGGCCAGGAAAGCGATAGTTTAGTTGATTGATAAACCCACGAGAAAACAACTCTAGAAACTCTAATGTTTTATTTTTCAAGGGTTTCTAGCCAAATTTTGACTCTTTATTTCACAAATGAAACTTATCCACTCTGCATTGATCAGCAGGGGATCACTTTTTCTCTCTCTCCACCACCTACCCTCTCCTTTCATGCTGAACTTGCAGTACTGTCGCTTAAGAGCAATATTTCAGTTCTCCTTTGAGGTTCCGACTGTAGCCGTGCATCATCCGCTCTACGGCTGTTGTGCTTTCTATTACAGCACCGGAGAAAGGTCTTAAAGGAGAGTGTCATTAGTATTGCTTGGCTGCAGTGTTTCATTGCAGCACGGGTGAGATATTATGTGGGTAGGATGTCTTTTGATGTATGTCTGTAATCAGTTTTTATGGCTGATGAGTGCCACTCTCAGGGATCATAAAGATAGACCTGACTCAACTTGACATTAGCTCTTTGTCATATCGTCTCTCCCTTATCTGTCTGACCCTACATTTCTGTTTCCCTTCACCCTCTCCTCTTTAGGAGCTCCAGGGCCTGGAGCGATCCAATTCAGCCCTTAAAAAGGAGATTGCCGCGTTGAAAAAGGACCTCCACCTCTACACGACGGCTTTGGAGCGCCACGAGCCTCTCTGTCACGTCAAAGCTTCTGCATCCAGCTCCAGCCCAACAACCTGCCCCTCAGTTTCCCCCTCGGCAGACCGTCAGGCTGGCCCCAGTCCTCCTGGAGTCCCTCCCCGAGCCTCAAGCTCAACTTTGGCTCCTGCCCCTTCACTCTCTACCTCCCTAACCTCCATCTTGGGCATTCAAACCCCTGACTGTGTTGAAAGTAAACACCTCTCATCTTCAACTCCTCCAACGACTGCAACGTTAGCCTCACCCATCAGCTCATCTGCTGAACACTTTACTTCCTCTAGCTCTGTAACTTCTCCTTACTGCGGCTCTTTCTCTGCAGTTCCAGCTCCTCACTCTTTGTTTAGCGAATCTCTAATCACGCTGAGGCCAGCAAATGTTTGGCCTGTCTGCACAAGCCTTGTGTCAAAGCCTGTACCCTCCAGCTCTCTTACCACAGCTGCTCAGCTTCAATCTAGGCAAGGCCCAATCCATGAAAGCTCCTCAATGTCCGCCACTGCTTCTTTCCCTCCACTTCATCCTGGTGCACTGGATGCCTTTCTAATGAAGCAAGACTCTTTTCTAACTGCGTCATCTAATGTAGTGCCCCTTTACTCCCATTCAGCTGTACAAGATGGAGGTCTAGTAGCACAGGGTTGCTCCATGAATGTGCCCCAGCTTGATCCAAGTCAGTTCAGCAGAAATCTAATCAATTCAAGTGCGTCTCTTTTACCCCCAGCTCTTCGAAATCCTCCTCTTCAGCCCCCCTTAGTGCCGACACCTACCTCTGCTTTTGCCTTAAAGCCACGTTCTGGTCAACAAGTCACTGTCAATCCTGCATCTCTGCTCTCCCTGCTCACTGTCCCGAGTCCCTTTAATGTGCCTCATACTACCTCCAGCAGCTATGACAGACCTCTCTCTCAACCTCAGCCCCCGCTACCAACGTTAGAGGAGCCCTCAAGAGATCTTTCCCTTTCTGAGTTCCTGGAAGTCAATGATTGGATACTAAGTGGGACTAGTTATGAGTAGCACTACATAGCAAAGGAAGACCAGTTTCCTTTAATTTATATATTTCTATATTTTGTGCAAGTTTAATCAAACTCTTCTGAGCAGCTATAGCAATAATTGTAAAATACAAGAAGACAGGTTTAACTATGGAAAACCTGACATCACATTATGACATAAGGGCCAAACCAATGTCCAAGCTGTTTATATTCAGCTTTCTGCTTCATAAAAGGACACTCTTTTGATTTGGTATTGAGTTGGGGGATTCACAAGTGCCAGGTTAAAGAAAAAATGGTCAAAGCCAATGCAGTAGAAGTGGAGATATCCCAACTTTTAGTTCCTAGTATGGGTCAAGCTCCAAAAACACTAGATCCTGCAGTGCAACTAATAGCATCTTTTGCAAGCGTCCTGTTCTAAATTGTAACCTCCAAGCCCAAGCAGAAAAACCCCAATGACATCACTATATCATCACTGGGGATATTTTCTCAACTGTCTCAATCCTTCTCCAGAGCCACAGAAGGCATTAAACAACTGTTTTCACAGGCTGAGTAGTCCTCCGCATGATGAGTTACCCAACTGTCATGACAGAAATTGGTGCAGTTTCCCTTTAACAAGGGCAAATAATGCTTAGCCTCGGTTTTTGGAGACTGGGGTCTGACTTAGCTGGATAACTCTGCACAACAAATGAGCTTCTTGTGAGTCCGTAGTTTACAAGCTCCTATACGTAGAGAGACATTAACCATACAGTAAAATCCAGCGGCGTCATGCTTTACAGTTTCTGAGAAATCTTTTAGGTAGGTGTCATCCCTTCCTTTATCCACAGACAGGACACAGAAAAACTGACTCAACATTCGAAACTTTGACTTGTAATTTTAGATGGGGTGGAGTGCTCACTTCCTTGCAACATAATGGAAGTGTGTTTAGGAGAAATTTCCATCTGTGGCAGGGGCCACATGTGTAAACGTAAGAGGCACCAAAGTTAACCACACAGGCAGGGCGCGCCTGGCTGCATATGAGTTATGATTTAACACAAGGAAAGTTTATTCTGTCTTTATTTGCACCTCTTTAAAATACATAATCAAACTGTCTTCACAGTCTAACATATTTTGCTGCTACTGATCATTTAAATCAGTCTATTTGCTGATTGTTATTTTTTTAAGCTACAGTTATTTATTTTTTTACATTTCAGATGATACAGTACTTTCATTTTCAATTTAAATAACAGAATTGCATTATTTTTATTTACCGTAATTATGCTGATTCCTTATTAATTAAAGTGTTTTGCCAGGCTTTGCTTACAAGAGTGGATCCACAATAAAACAAAGTGGGCACCTGCCCAGGACCCCCAAACCCTCAAGGGCCCTTAGAGTCCCCAGATTGAATGTGTATGTGTTGGTGTGTGGTAATTTAATTAATTGCAAATCATAAATAGTTTGTGTATCAATATTATTTGTCTTATCTGCCTGTTTCAAAGTTCATATTCACAAATAAATGTGAATAACCTCAAGCAGGGGGTGTCAAAGGGCCCTCAGCTCTGCATTGGGGCCCCCTAGTGGTTACATTCAGCCATGATCACAGGGACAATTTATGTGACAACTCAAAAATCCAATGACACCCCTCATCATGTGGGTTTAAACATGATAAGAATGGTTGTGTAATTAATAATTCCCTTATTGAGTTCATTTCAAGTGAATCAAATGAGATAAATAACTGGATTTTTCCATTTGACTTTCTCTCCCTGTAACTAATGATAAGAGGGGCGGCTCAGACTGCTGTAAGGAAATTAATATGACGATTTTGTTTTTTCAGAGAATGATTTATGTAGATTATTCTGCTTTTATGTACAATTTATATGTATGTATGTATGTAGGATATTATATGAGCCTGTATTCCACCGAAAAGTTTATGATTAAGTGCGAGGCTTTGGGTTTGTGTGTGTGAATTATGACTATTTTGTATTTATCATGCATTAGATGAATATATTTATGTTGACATTGTGGTTGCAATTGAAAAGTGCATTACAAATAAAACATTTTATTAAAATAATAATTTTTGTTCAGTTTATAATTCTGATCAATATAATATTCTAATGTCTAACTACAGTGAAAGTGAAGCTGCATAACTTTGCACCCTTTATCAGTTTGCTACACTCACAATATTTGGTGCAACTTGTTCTGACATGACAGTTAGCTTATGGTGGCTAATGTTAGCAAACTTTAGATAGATGCTGTTGTATATCTGACATTGCTGACTTTGCAGACTTTAGGAATCTTTTATACTTGTTCTGTACTGTTAGGTGGCCACAAGTGACATCTGTGACAACAAGAGTGACATAGTTTTACTTTCATCGACTGTAAACTGTTGTTAACTGGACATCAATACTGTAGATTGTTGCTTACATGTGGGCAATTTGTAGCCATGCTAGTGGTGTGGCGCTCCGGATCCAGTGCCAGTCTGTTCATCGGTCCATCCAAATACCTCAGCACCTACTGAATGGATTGTCATGGTATTGGTGCGGATATTCATGATCCTAAACGATGAATCTTAATTCCTTAATCTGACTTCTCTTTTAATACCACCATAAGGTTGGCATGTGCTCTTAAATGAAATGTCTTAAAGGGGAACTAGGCCCATTTTCAAAATTCGTACATATTATTTGTGGTGGGGGAAATAATCAATTCTTAGATCCATCGCGATGCGGACGCAGACAATTCAGCATCGACACACTACAGTTAACTTGTAATCCCTCTTCACAAAAGTCAGCAGTTGCACACTTCCTTTAATTTCATATCTAAATAATTACATTTGCAAGATGGATGTGAAGTATATGTATACTGCGCCTCAGCGTCTTGGCTTTTCCCAGAGCTTATGTGCTGCAGAGAAGCTGCTCTCCACTGCTTGATACACATTAAAACAACACACCGGAGCACGGCACCTCCCCGTTATTTTCTTATTATTATACAGGCAGGAGACTGCAAGGTGCTTTCATCTTACTATATAATGACGAAAACTCTGTGTGTGTGTGTGTGTGTGTGTGTGTGTGTGTGTCTGCGTGTCTGTTCCACGTTTTTCTCCTCACTGACTTGGTCAATCCATGTGAAATTTGGCACAGTGGTAGAGGGTCATGGGAGAATGTGAATGAAGCAATATTACATCAATTGGCCAAAGGGGGGTGCTATAGCAACCGATTGAAATTGCAAACTTTGAATGGGCATATCTCATGCCCTGTATGTCGTAGAGACATGAAACTTTCCACAGAGATGCCTCTCCTCATGAGGAACAAATTTGCCCCAAGAACCCATAACTTCTGGTGATATAGATTTTCCGCCATTTTGAATTTTTTGAAAAACACTTAAAATCGATCTCTTCCTAGGAAGTTTGACCGATCTGCATGAAACTCAGTGAACATAATCTAGGGACCAATATCTAAAGTTCCCTCTTGGCAAAAGTTGGAAAACTTACTAAAACTGAACTTCTATAAGGCAATGAATATTGCGGAGGGCGTGGCTCATCACATAAAGGTGTATAACATCACAAGGGTTTCACCGATCACCACGCAACTTTGTAGGCATATGACCACACATAATCTGAAGGGACCCCTCCATTATTGACCCGATCAAACAAAATGGGGGCGCTAGAGAGCTAATTTCTCATCTAGGCCTAACCGCCATATCGATTTTTACTAAATTTGGTAGATATGTAGAACAGGACGCCTCAAGGTGACTGGAGAAATTCACCTCTAACTGGCAACTGGGTGGCGCTATAACAACAGAAAAATTCTTTAAAATGGCTAAAATGTGCCCGATCACTGTGGCTCCCCCTGTGGCCGAATGTTTTGGGTTTTTTTCTAATTTTTGGTATGACTAAGTCATGGTATGGTATGCTGTACATAATCACGGAAACTGTCAGTGTGTCATTCTGTCAGTCAGTCATTCTGTCTGTCCCACGTTTTTCTACTCACTGACGCGGTCAATCTATGTGAAACTGCACATAGGCATTGAGGATTGGCATAGGTAGAAGGTGACAAAACTTCCAATGGGTATGGACTAGTATCAATTAATTTGTTAATTAATGCAGCTAACTTTTAAAATAAAAATGCTGCAAACCATTTATTATTCAACAGTTTATGACTTGCAAACTATTTTCGGTAAAATATTACAGTATGTAAACACTGCACACTATGCTGGCTAAAATATCCCACAATGGGTTACCATAAGCAGCGGCAGATGGATCCAATCTGACTGGTTTAAAAGCCTGGGGTATGGGAGCATTTTGGCTGTAAGGTTGAAGGGAAATGTGACCTGGACAAGAGCCAGATTGTATGCAAGTAAATTAATCTGTTTATTTATTATGGATCACTACAAATACAGTATGCTATGTTTTAAAGTATCAAGTAAATCAAACATTTTTGATGCAGAGTGATGCACTGACAATTGTTTAATCATTGCATCATTGCCCTCTGAATCATAATCGAATTGAATCATGAGGTGTCTGGAAATTCCCACTCCTACATGTTTTTCCTTTGGTCTAAGACAGTCCAAAAATATAAGTTCCACAGCTCTCCCTAATCCCAAAACTAGGGTGCTAAAATTCAAATTTGTGATGTCATATAGGTATAAAGTGTGGAGCTGCTCCACAGACAATGGCTTGTTTTAGATGACACTGAAAGCAACCAGTGTATGAGTACATTTAATATGTCACGACTGAGAAGTTTACAATAGAAGAAAGCTCACTTGGGTATAAAAAAGAAAATTAACCTTTTGTGGGTCCACAAAATCAGTTTCCCATTTGTTGTTTCTGAAGCAGCTCCAGGCTTTGTACTTGATGACATCACAAGTTTGAGTTTTACTTATCTGGTTTCTGGCTTTGAGAGAGAGTAGCTCATGGTCACAAATACTGATTGAACTCTCTTTTGCCATGGAGACAACATAATGCAATTCTTAATTTGGGTGATGTTCCCCTTTAACAGGTGTTGGATGGATTGCCATGACATTTGGTTCAGACATTCATGTTGCACTCAGGTAGAATTGTAATAACATTGATGATCCTGTGACTTTTCCTCTAGCGCCATCATCAGGCCAAAATTATTCATTTGTCCAATACTTTGATATGTGATCAGATACCTTTTAAAACTCACTTTCCCATCAGCCTCAGCTGTCCTGCACTTGTTTTGAGCCAACTAGGAAACCTCAGCACACTGAGCATGCTGAGAGGGCGCAGTATGTTAGCATGGTCACTGTGATCACGTCTGCAGCCAGTTTTAGCATGTTGCTAAAAGCACAGCTGTGTTTCTACAGCCTCACAGAGCCGCTGCTATTTAGTCTCGTTAAAGATGATACAGTTTATTATTAGGATTTAGAAAAATAGACATGAGAAGATTTTTGATAGATTAGCTCACAGTTGTTGCAGACTCAGAGTACATGCAATAAGCAGAGGGTTTCTAAATGTCAGGCCAGTATTAACACCCTCCGGTGATAGCAAATGAGATGCAGACCAGCAGTGCTCCCAGCCACTTACCGGACTGCCGGTCCCCCCGGTATTTTTCCCAGAAGGCAACCGGCTGAGCTCATCTGCGACACAACACAGAGGAGGGGGAGGAGGAGGAAGAGAAAAGGGGGCGCAGGCGCGTGGTATTACGCACGCCCTTGTGTTGAATATAACATTATAAGGCTGGAGTGTGTTTATGGTGAGAGGAGCAGTAAAGAGGGTTCAAGGCTGGCAGCGAGCACGCTAAACACATTCACCGCCAGCCAAGGTGTGACTTTGAGAGGGGGATGAAAGCGCGTGGTAATTGTGCCTTTGAGTGCGCGAGCGTGTGTGTGTGTGTGTGTGTGAGAGCAAGAGAGAGAATAAGTGGCTTAGTGAAGACAAGAACAATGGATAGGACTTGATCCTCAAAGCCAACTACAACCCCGCGTACACGCGCAATCAGCACGCGCGCTCACCTCAAATTGGAAGCGAGGAAAATGGGGGGAAAGGGAGGGGAGGAATGGGGGGAGGCGGGGAGTCAGACAGGAACACTGATGAGCGTCAAAGCGGTGCGCTGCTGGAGAACAGAGGGGGGATATTTCATAACAGGATGAGACCGCAGCCAGAGGTTTGGCGGAGGTGATGCAGTGACAGCAGAGGCGCGCGGGGCACTAATGACGCATCTGTTTAAAATTAACAGGGTTTAAGAGGCAGAGCCAGGCCACATAAATAAAGACAAATAAATAAATAAATCCATCCTATAGCGTCATCCGCATTGAGGAGCCTCACTCCTCTCTCTCCTTGCACCACCTTTAAGCTGAGGGACCAGTGGCAAGGCTGTCGGAGTGAGACGAGTAAGCATCCGGTTACACATTTCAAAATAAAAGCTTAATTCATGCACCTGCTTTCACTTTTTTGAGGAAAGTAATGTAGTATCAATCACACCTGGATCTTCATATTATGAAAATCGAGGTGTGTTTGTTCATCACTTCAGTTTGTTTATCACTACTTAGAGGGTGGTTGTGGCTCAGAAGGTAGAGCGGGTCGTCCACCAATCGGAAGATCAGTGGGTCGATCCCCAGCTCCTCCAGCCTTCAAGTTGAAGCATCCTTAAGCAAGATCCTGAGCCCCAAATTGCTCCCAATGGCCGTTCCATCGACGTGTGAGTGTGTTAAAAACTGAGCAGGTGGCACCTTGTATGGTAGCCTCAGCCACCAGCGTATGAATGTGTGTGTGAATGTACTGTAAAAAGTGCTTTGAGTGGTCCCAAGACTAGAAAGGCGCTATACAATTGCAGGTCCATTTACCATTTACCAAGTTCTAATATAAATGTTGGCAGGACTGTGGAAGAAGTCATAGCCATATTCATCTCTGGTCATACCCTGGGTTGAAAAAATTCTGGGCTATACGCAATGAAATGGAGCATGTCTTTCAAACATCATTTTGAACTGACCAAGATTTTGTACATCTTGGAAGAACACCAGGAGAAATGGTGGGCGGAAGAGATGGGTGTCTATTTTGGATATAAACAATAACTGCTCTGCAATTATTTACCAAGAGGAGGCTACAACAATATGTCCACAACTCTCACAATGGAGAGAAATGTTTGCAAACTAATGCAAATTCAATATATGGAAAACATAACAAATGCCCTTGATCCTTCTCCATTTATGTCCACTGTCTCTTGGCAGATGACCTTGACCTCTTCTCAGTCAATACTGAGCAGAGCCTTTGTTCAGGGTTCAGTCTCATGCTCTGTTGCTCAGTGAGATTATTAATAGATCCTGCAACAAATATTTCTGTCTTAACCTGACCCTTCGAATCTAGGCTACATGTTCAGCTGTTTTGCTGCTGATTGATTGCAGAATCTGCCTTGCAGAGCTCCAGTGTAATCTTTTCACTATGGATTCTAGAGATCAGCATTTTGAGACATCTTGCTATCTTTTGGTGCCGAAACGCTGACCTCTGGCATTTTGAAAAAGATTGAATTTGAGTTCTGAGTGTGAGACTTTCCCCCTCCTTTCTTTGATGTCTACCTGCAAGCCAGCACCTCACTTAAAAAGATGTGTTTTCTTCAGTTCTTGGGAAATCTTGTGATGTCTGTGAGCCCTACACACTGCAGAAACCAAGTTTACCCCCCTATCAGGGGACTTAAAGCGTACAGTGCTGACTTTTCCTACATTTAGCTTTTTCAAAAAAAAAAAAATCACATTCACTGTCAGTGGGAATTAGTTCCAACGCTTGAGTTGTATTTGCACAAATAGCATAAATATGTGCTAATGGACAAAATAATAGCTGTGATTTAAAGTAGTAGACAAATGTTTGACACCTTTGTCTGTTTTATTTTCTTTTAATTAGGCCTGTTCAATGCTGGTATCAACGGTGCAATGCAGCAATTGGTAAGTTTATTAATGAGAATTTTCTTTGGGAATATTGGAATTACTAAAGCAAAATATCAACTGCCATGATGACAGCCTTCATGTTAGTCTATGATCTGGTCTTGCAGCCTGCTGTCTTGGAAATATGTGAAATGGACACAAAGACGTGTGTCCATTTCAAGACAAGACAAGACAAACAATAAATTACGTGCTGGCAACAAGAAAACAATTCCATCCATCTAGTGGTAGACACAAAAATTAAGTAGGTAGCCTATATACAGTGAGAAAGTCTGCATATGTTACGAAAGGTAGGAGGGGTCGAACAAACATGACTATTTTCATGACCTATGGACTTTACATAACTACGCAAACTACTTTACGTAAAGTAAAAAACAAAAAGTATGTAATTTTATGTCACTTGCATCCTATGTAGTTATTTTAACTGAAAACAAAATCTTTTCCTAAACTTAACCAAGTATTTCTTTGTTCTCTAAACCTAACCAAGTTCCCCTCTAAAGGTAACCAAGCTTTGACTGTTTCACAATGAAACTGTGACCAGTCATAACAGACTTTGTCTGGCGTTGTTTTTGTATGCACGTATTAACACAATTTGTGCCCACCAACACGAGATGCATTGTTAAGAGGCTATGTCTATTTCATGAATTTCTGTGACTGTGGGTCTTTAGGCCCTGTCTTGGAAGTCTTGAAATCTACCTTTAAAGCCTTAATAATATGTGCATATTCCTAAATTAGTTTGTGTTTAATCAAGTTACCACACAACAAACCTGAGGTGACCTCCCTACGGCACACTGTAGGAAAGGGCTATGTAGTGCATAGTAGAGGTGTGGACTTTGGTCCCATGACTTGGACTCGAGTCAAACCCAAGTCACAAATTTAATGACTTTGGACTTGACTTGACAAAATCAAAAAAGATTTACAACTGGACTTGGACTTTAACACCAATGACTGGTGACTTCTCTTGGACTTGAGCCTTTTGACTTGAAAATACTTGATACCTTCCCCCAAGCCCACTGATTAAAAAGAATGTTTCTTAAAAAGTGTGCCACGAATTAATTAATTTCCCTTCATTTTTTCTGAATCAATTAACGTTAGCGCTGTTCAGTCCCAGCAAGTCAACGTTTAAATCCCCAGATCCACTTTGTTCAAACCAATCCTACAACATCCAACAAACTTGCAGGAGAGAACCATGAAGAACTAACATTACGTTACTGTTGGAAAAATTATACCAAAGATAACTTCACTTGCATATACAAAACTATGCTGTAGGCTAGTCTACAAAAAATAACCTATGACCTATAGGTGCAAAGACTTGAGGGTTGCTTGAGACTTGTAATGCAATGACAATAAATAATAAATAATACACAATAAGGATGGAGGGGTTATTTTGGACCCAGTATCTAATCTTTGCCCCAGGTCACTCTGGCAGTACGTCTGTTTATGTTAACACCAGCACACTTTTATTTTCGCTCTCTTGTATTTTATTTTGAAAGTCGCGTTGCCTGATTTCCTGTGTATTCCCGACTCACTGCGTGCTCCTTGACGCAGCTCGCTGAGGCGCTGTAGGACGACCGGATAACGGGAACCGAGAAGGGGGACAGGAGCAAAACGCGTCAGTCTGACAGACATAGACGGGGTGCTATTGTATAACACGGGCCTTCTTCGGTCTTTTCACTCCAGGCTTGCAGGAGGAGCGGCTGCTTTCTATTGTGCTTTTGCCTCTTTTCGTTTTTCTCTCACCGCGGAGGCAGAGACGGAGCGCGGCAGCGGGGCTCGGTGTTGCATCGGCCGCTGGCGGAGGACCTGCACATGTCGGCGCGGTGAGGGAGCGCTTGTTTCCCCGCCCTGATACGGTTGGAGGACGGCAGGAGGTGGAGGTTGTGTGGAGGGGTACAAACCGCGACGAGAACAACATTACCCACATCCGAGAGAAAATAAATAAATAAATAAAAACAAGCAGGTGCGGCCGTTTGAACGGTCGAAAAAGGATCCGTTAAAAACGAGCGAGAAGGACAACAGTGATGCGGCAGCCGAGGTGGGCCCAGATTGATGATTTTATGATATCATCATCCACCGCCAGGACCGATCACTGATTTTATTGATAAGGAGCATCATCGAGGAGAATAAGCTATAAACTGACCTGGGGTCCGTTTGTTTGTTTTTGAGCTGGATAAACAGGAGGAGGTTAATCGGTGCTTGATTACAGTGATTTCTTTACATAAGGAGCTTTGTGATCAATTATAGAAATAAATATCCAAATTTAGGCCGATGACTTAGTCTGTGTGTGACGCCAATACAGCAGCAGAGAGGCGTGTGTGTATGTGTGAGGAGACGCGCCTGTCTGAGCATCATCTGGTAGCTGCACAGGCTACTCCTCCACTGGGATGATACACATGCCATTTTTCATCTGTGCGTGAAAAACTGAAGAATCAGGGATGCTGCTGATGCTGCTGCCATTTCCTGTCCGGCTCTGATAGAGACAGCGAGGCGCACAGCACGGGACTGGACATCCAGAAAATATCTCTCCTCACCTCTCCTCCGCCTCTGCACCTTCTCCCCCCTTTATCTCTCCCCCCCTCTCCTCCTCCTCCCTCCTCTTCCTCCACCTCCCCGGAGCGTCTATTCATTCTGATCAATTGATAATCCATCTGTGATTCAGAAAGCCACCCACTCCTCCATCCTTACCTCCATCCTCTCCTCCATTCACCCATACAGTCTCTTTACGCACTCACACGCGCAAAGCACGCACGCAACAACACCACCACCGCATCACCACCACCACCACCGCCATCTACAGCCATCATGGAGACGACCAAGCTGCCTCCGTCCAGCCCGTCTTCGCCGACCACCAGCTTCTCGGTGCCGTCCGCGGAGAAGGTGGACGGCTTCCCGCGGAGGTCGATGCGCAGAGCCCGGCAGAGGAGGTCCCACAGCTCGTCCCAGTTCCGCTACCAGAGCTCCCAGGTGGAGCTCACCCCACTGCCCCTGCTCAAAGGTGAGACACTGCTTCACTGCCATGGGTCAATATATCATAGTGATAGGCCTGCCATAGGGATGAAGAGTCCAACAAGGTCACCATAAAGTCTCTGCTTTCACTTTATGCATTTATTCCTTGTTGTTTAAACACTTCTAGATGATAATGAATGCCATCACCTGACTTTACATAAGCCAACCATTGATCAGAACTGTGGAGAAGAGCTATTGATGTATTGTATTTTCTACTGATAGGTATCCAGTGATACATATTGTCCTCTCTGTCCTTGTCCTTCCTAACTGACAGAGGTGATAGCAATGGCTTTGATTTATTGTCTGATAGGAGCCAGTCTGGTTTTGGATTCTTGTAAAGGCTGGTTGTTGGAATGATTGGTTTTAGGACTGCAGCTATCAGTTATTTTCATGAATAATTAATCATTTTGTCAATTAAATTACAGAAAAGAGTGAAAGATGTCCATCCTAGTTTCCCCAAGTCCAAGGTGACGTCTTCAGATATCTTGTTTTGTCTGAAAAATAGTCCAGAACCTGCAGAAATTAAGTTTAAGATGATTTAAAACAGAGAAAAGCCACTTATCCATACCTTGGCGATGCTAAAATCAGTGAACATTTGGTATTTTAATGGTTTCTGTCACTCGACTAATTGATTGATTGAGAAGTTTCAGGTCTATTCATTTAGTTGATATCTCAATTTGACTATTGCTAAAGCAGGTGAAGATCAAAGGGTATATAGCTAAAAAATGACACTGTAGGATCAGATTAGTAAGAAATTGCAAATTTTCCTTCCCGTCATCCTCAATTTTAGCAACAATCGTCAACTTGATCACAAATTTGCAGTATTATTGTCAATGAAACTTGCTACATGCCTTCAACTGTGGCAAAGGACGAGTTTGCCCAAACGCTCAAGTTCAAATCCATGTGTGCAGAGTCACTGCGCTTAATGTGGACCACTTACACACTCATTAAAACACAATATCAACTTGTCTCCTTTATTTGTTGATGGGGAAATGGTAGAAGCATCTCCCCATTATGAGGCCTCTCTCCTTGACAGACCACTGCTGCCTTAATTGCCTCATTAAACCTCAAACAAAACTATATCCAGTACCAAACATACTAGTACACACTGTGGCTAAGTAAAGATCTTGACATCCATGATAAAAGCAGTCAAAGCTGCACTATTTGCAGGTCTGTTGTTGCCATAGCTCTAATCCCAGAGCTGCTGTTACTACACAGAGACCACTTTGATCTATGTGAGCTTGTTCAGCATCCTCTCTCAGAATGAAGGCACAAGGCTGTAAAGACATGGAACCCACTGGCTTTCATTTTCAGATATACTGTGGTACTTTCCTACAGATGCACCTGCTCAGCCCACAGACATTAGTATTTAGAGCTATTTAATTAGTAAAAATGTCAAACACAGATGTGAAGTTGTTCCTGTTTAATAAAGTTTTTAATTGAATAGCTTAGGGTTTTTGGATGGTTGAGCAACAAAACAAGACATTTTAACCTGTCACCTTGGACTCTGCGCACTTGCGTTGAACAATTTCCACCCTTTTCAGACCTGTTATACACCAAACACAGAACCAATTGGCTATCAGTCTGATGACAATAAGCCTCTGGGGACAGATGTTAATATTTTGGGGGTTCAGGTGTAGCAAGCGAACATCCGGGCCAAGACCTCCTCTTTCGTGCGGCAGTCATTTCAGCTAATCTCTATAAAAAGATATCTGCATATGACTGCAGATAAATATATTTAAAAAAGCTAATAAAGCCCTAAACTTTCAGACGATAGCCGATAGGTTCTGAGATTGTATTTTGGCATTTCCGCCTCTTTTGGTCTTAGGGGAGCATAGTCAAGAGGCAAACCAGGCAAATGTTTTGGGTCCCCCAGATAGTTTTGGAAGAAGGGTGCCCCTTAAATTGGCAGATTTTGCAATTATAAAATCCCCTTAAACCTCTCATAAAGAGTAACTATACGGTACTCTTTATGGCTACCAGTTGACAGCTGAATATCATTAGTAAGGACAGTCAGCCATTTACCTGCAACTGTCATGTTCGGTGTTAAAGTCAGCACAGTGAAACAAGCATACCAGAAATGAAACAAGGAGGAAAAACAACACCAGGGACTGTTTGGGGGCCTCGATGGGCTTCTTTCCTTGGGGCCCTCCAAGAGTCTAGATCCTAGGCTCAAGGATCACCACTGTTTTCTCTCCACATGGACTCTAGTTGCTCAAATGTGATTGGCTGTTACTTCTCGTACTTGTTGAGACAACAATTGGAAACCAGAATGCCTTCGATACCAAAATCTCTTCCCATTGCCTACAGATTTTGCATACATATACAGATATCTGTTTACAGAGATGAATTAAACACTAAATGATGAATTGATAAATCAAAAAACAAACAAGGTGCTACAGCCTTACCTGGTATGACCAGTAGCTTTCAGCTGCTAATGTTAGCTGATGTTAGCAAACTTAAGCTCAGCGTGGAATCATTTAGCATTTACCACACAGTTGCTTTAACCCCTAAGAGATATTTACTTGTCGTGTTAGAGAGAGAGGTCCAAATCAATGTTTTTTACCTTTTCTTTCCACACAGTAAACAAGACCTATCTTTTCACATTCCTCTTTTCTATATATGCTTTCTCAAGCATCTCTATCCATTTATCTGTGCCTCTTCCTCACCTTCTGTATCTTTCTTTGTAACCTGTGTGTGCAGTACAGGGGCACATTGTAAGTTCTCATGCCTCTGACCCCTTTTTATAAGGTTACCCCCGTTTCATGTAGCCTTCAATCTCTTCCCATCAACCCTTTTATGAAGAGAAGACCTCTCTGCTTTTAGACAGTGTATGAGGTGCGTGCAGCTGTGTGTATGTTTTTACACCTCATTTCACCAGCTTCAACTTCCTCTCAGGCCCGTGAGTCAAGGACGTGCGCAGCATGATGATGGAGGGTTTTCATTGCATCTTTGCAGCACCTTCCGTTCAGAGCTCTCTGTGCATATGTGCTGGAAGCCTTCATAGACAGAAGTCCCAGTTATCACATGGCTGCTGCACCGCTGCGGCACTGTTTCTGGATCCCCAGGAGGAACTGATAGTAAGATCCTGCAGCACCAGCGCAGGAGAAAAGCCTGGTGTGGGGAAGTCTGTAACGGGCAGTATGTAGGCCAAGTGTAGACAGACTTGTGGGTGTTTTGCCCTCAAGGGATCACTTTCCCATTGTTAATTCGAACTACTCCTCCTGCTAACAATGGCACATCTCTTTCACTTCATGCCCTGTGCAAAGCTTCATTCTGCAGTTTCAGGCATAGTATAAAACATAAAATACACAGAAAGACATGGCGCATAACAATGAAGAAGATGTGAACAGAAAAAGCTAACAAGTGCCATTAAAGGTAAAATCCACCCTGAAACACTGTCCAGAAACAGCTTCTAGTGATGAGCATTGCCTCTTATGGGTCATTTCATTGTTTGATGCTCACCTACAATGGTTTGACTGAAGGCAATGCCTGAAATTGCCAACAGTGATCATAGAGTTTAAGATCTAAGTCTCAGAGTGAGCAGGAGCCTCAATATTTGGGACCAATCTTAACAGTCAAAGCAGGAGGAGGCAGACATACTGATTCCTAGCCTCAGTCGATCAGAATGCAATGCAGTTACAGCTTGCATCTTGCAGATTTGTCATCAGTACTGTGTGAAACATATCAGCCTTTAAAAGTTACTGTTTTGTAAACAGAACTAGCCAAACCAACATGGAAGAAGTTATGGTGATGAAGACCAACTGTTGCACTGCCTCACGTTGTCTGTGTCTTGGCCAAGAAGTTGCACTTGAGCACCGCTACACACTACAGTCGAGGGCTAATCAACATGTACATTCTGTGACTGCATGAGAGGAAATAACTCTCAGTATTCTGTATTCATCATTCAAAAAGGAAAACAGTAGCATTACATTCAAGACGCTAGTTAGCCAGTTAGCACATTAACAACACAAACTGATGTTGATAGAACGAATGATATTTGCCGTGTGCTAGTGAACAATAACACAAACAATTATGAACCGTTCCTGCCGAAGAGCTCAGTGGTTAAGAAATAATCTTACCTCAATAATAAGTTTTTTAAATCTCATTACCTCTTGACTTTAGTTGTTTGATTTGCGTTTGTGCTGTTTCCGACGCAGATTCAAGATGTTGGATTTGCTGAAAAAAGCAAACGAGGGCCAACTGGTGCCAATGGTGACGGACACATCGCAAAAATTAGGTTGTCAGCTTGATGTGTAAAGGTCCTAAAACATCATCTTTTTTTGGACCTGAAAAACGTACTATGCAAAATATAGGAAGTTATTTACATGGTTTGATGTCATGTAAAGATTTCAGTATAGTTATCTAGCTGTTGCCTGATCTACGAGACACTCATTTCCCCATTATCAGTAGCTATGATTGATCAGAATGCAGTCACAGCTTGCATCTTTGCAGATCTGTCATCAGTAGTGTGTGAAACATGTAAGCCTTCAAAAGTTACTGTTTTGTAATCAGAGGAAGAAAAAGAACAGGAGGCAAAAAAACAAAAACAATTCAATGGTCAATTCCTCTTCTAAATGCAGCTGGAGAACTGAACTGACCAATAAAGGAGCAGCAGGGATGGTCAAGGCACCTTATGAATTCACAGATGAAGGGTGAAGGATACAGGATCCCTATAATCCTTTCTACAGTGTATTCATGTTTGGCTACAGGCCTGCAGCAAACACATGCACAGGCATATCACCTCTTTCTGTACACTGTGTTCTTGGACTAGTGTTGGGCACTGTACTGCAGCAGACACTTAATGTCTAAACCAGTGGATATACTTCTTTCACACATAGAATTCACGGTGAGTTGATGCTTCAAGGTCTGTTTAATAGAAACACAGCAATCATCTGGTGAAAGTCAACCTTGCCTCGTCTTTCAGTTGGCATTTGTGCTGTTTATTCTCAAGAGATTGATCACTGCCTTTACCGCTATTAGCGGCCG